TGCATCGGGGGGTGCGGTGGAAAGCTGCGAGGCGAGCTTTGGACTGGGTGGTGCGATCTGGAGCGGCTATCCAGCTGTACGCAGGGCATAAAGCGGCGGCATTGCGGGCCGTCGCAAGCAGGCATGTAGGTAGGCGTGCAAGAGGAGGTGAGTCGAACAAAGGGTTGGACACACCGGGGATTGAACCCGGGGCCTTCCGCTTGCAAAGCGGACGCGCTACCACTGCGCTATGCGCCCAGCAAAATGGAAAACCTAACCTCCATTTTTTGGACCGCTTTGTCCTCGCCCCTGCGCGCGCTACGCACACAAACGCACTGCACGCGCACTGCCACGGACACACGCTACGCCCTGTTGCCCGCCAATCGCATTCAAACGGCCTCCCCGAGCGACACCATCACCGACCCGCAACCGACGTGCTCTTCGCTGAAACGCGCTGTTCGTCGTGGCCACACACCCGAGTTTGCGCCGGATCCACGCTTCAGCCAGCGGCCAGGCCGTCTGGAGTGGCAGCGCCAACGCATTGCTGCTGGTTCTGTAATGGGCCTACCTTGGCTCACTACTACGGCTTACACGTATGCGCACGTGTATGAGGAAGCGTAGATTTCTTTTACTTGAGTTAAGTATACTCGAGATCCACGAGTATACTTTAAACAAGATAAAGACTCCAAGTAGCGGGTTTTGGTAAAAGATGAGAACTGCTATTTTTGTTTTATGTTTCTGACTTCCTCTAAATGTAATATTCTAAACTAGGAATCTGCCAACGGCTGGTTGGCAGGATTCTGCTAACATGCAAGTCACTCATTGGCTAAAAGATGCTGCTTTCAGCCAATAGGAATCCTAAATGTGTATGGACCACCCGACGTGGTGGTCATAAATGTATGTAGCCATTGGTGTGCCTTACACCAAGGTCGAGGAAGTGTTCGAACCTCTAGCAGACATCGCATCTGTTAGAGTAACAAGTGACTGTAGCCACTTGTGCGTGTAACCCCGTTACAGGTTCGGCGTAGCGGTCATCGAACCGACCTCGTGCATCGGGGGGTGCGGTGGAAAGCTGCGAGGCGAGCTTTGGACTGGGTGGTGCGATCTGGAGCGGCTATCCAGCTGTACGCAGGGCATAAAGCGGCGGCATTGCGGGCCGTCGCAAGCAGGCATGTAGGTAGGCGTGCAAGAGGAGGTGAGTCGAACAAAGGGTTGGACACACCGGGGATTGAACCCGGGGCCTTCCGCTTGCAAAGCGGACGCGCTACCACTGCGCTATGCGCCCAGCAAAATGGAAAACCTAACCTCCATTTTTTGGACCGCTTTGTCCTCGCCCCTGCGCGCGCTACGCACACAAACGCACTGCACGCGCACTGCCACGGACACACGCTACGCCCTGTTGCCCGCCAATCGCATTCAAACGGCCTCCCCGAGCGACACCATCACCGACCCGCAACCGACGTGCTCTTCGCTGAAACGCGCTGTTCGTCGTGGCCACACACCCGAGTTTGCGCCGGATCCACGCTTCAGCCAGCGGCCAGGCCGTCTGGAGTGGCAGCGCCAACGCATTGCTGCTGGTTCTGTAATGGGCCTACCTTGGCTCACTACTACGGCTTACACGTATGCGCACGTGTATGAGGAAGCGTAGATTTCTTTTACTTGAGTTAAGTATACTCGAGATCCACGAGTATACTTTAAACAAGATAAAGACTCCAAGTAGCGGGTTTTGGTAAAAGATGAGAACTGCTATTTTTGTTTTATGTTTCTGACTTCCTCTAAATGTAATATTCTAAACTAGGAATCTGCCAACGGCTGGTTGGCAGGATTCTGCTAACATGCAAGTCACTCATTGGCTAAAAGATGCTGCTTTCAGCCAATAGGAATCCTAAATGTGTATGGACCACCCGACGTGGTGGTCATAAATGTATGTAGCCATTGGTGTGCCTTACACCAAGGTCGAGGAAGTGTTCGAACCTCTAGCAGACATCGCATCTGTTAGAGTAACAAGTGACTGTAGCCACTTGTGCGTGTAACCCCGTTACAGGTTCGGCGTAGCGGTCATCGAACCGACCTCGTGCATCGGGGGGTGCGGTGGAAAGCTGCGAGGCGAGCTTTGGACTGGGTGGTGCGATCTGGAGCGGCTATCCAGCTGTACGCAGGGCATAAAGCGGCGGCATTGCGGGCCGTCGCAAGCAGGCATGTAGGTAGGCGTGCAAGAGGAGGTGAGTCGAACAAAGGGTTGGACACACCGGGGATTGAACCCGGGGCCTTCCGCTTGCAAAGCGGACGCGCTACCACTGCGCTATGCGCCCAGCAAAATGGAAAACCTAACCTCCATTTTTCGAACCGCTTTGTCCTCGCCCCTGCGCGCGCTACGCACACAAACGCACCGCACGCGCACTGCC